TTTCTTAAAAATTGTTTAAAGGCTGAAATGTAAAGTGCAGGTCTTAAAAGCTCTTTAAAGCTCTTAAATTAAAAAATGCAGTTACCCGGTTATTTTATGGTACCATTTGGAATAACTCTCTTTTTTTTCCTTTTTTTTTAATTAAGCCCTTTTTAACTGTCCTTTTAGGTTGTTTTGAGAATGTTCTGTAGGCTACTGATAAAAAAAAGGACCTCTGTATGTTTGTTTGTTACAAATTTACAGACAATGCAATTGAAATGTTTACATTGGCTAGTCAGGGTAATATTTCTGTCCACTGACAACAAAGTTTTCCTTCTGAATTAGCATAACTGCACAAGATTTATACTTAATAAAATCTTTAAAAACAAATGACATTAGTTATACTTTAATTTCCTTCAATAAAAAGGAAATTGAGTAAGACGGTGTAAAAGGTGTGTGGACGTGGATTAGTAATCTGGCCCCTTGGTATAAAGGAGAAAAAATGCTGGCCCTCGTCACTATCAAAGTTGCCCATCCCTGGTCTAGATTATTAAATCCTACTGAAGTGGAAAAATAATTTTCCACCACAACCAAAAGACTGTTAAAGGGGTACTAGTTTTGTCACCCACCCCTTGCACAAATCACTGAATACACACACTCACTAATGGATATATATGGACTACATATCCTTGTGGTGGTTTGCTCTTGAAGGCTGACTGAAGTTATTTGAAGGTTTAAAGGAAGAAAAATAGTTAGTGTTACATTTTTCTAAAAGGATAAAGAAAAAACTTGCAGTACTTACCATTACATTCTTCTGGATCAACTGCTTCATCACACACACATAAAAAAAGAAAAGAAAAAACAACAAATGTTTTAATTTAAACAGCATTTTTTTATTCACATATACTAGTTAAGTTGTTTGTTGATATCTTGCATCTTCTTTCAGCATTTTATTTATCTTTTAACTTCATAATTATTATCATTAGTTGGTTCATCAAAATCTATGAAAATATACACACAAAGGTCAAATTTCTGACCCTTGATTAAGACAATGCAATTATGAAGTTAAGCACATCAGTAAAATAGCCTTACCTTTCACTTTTCGCCAATGACTGGTGGGGGTCCTGGAGGTCTCGAGGGCCGATTTTTTTGGGCCCTGGGAATCATTTCCTCCTTTCCCTCCTCTCTCAGTGCCCCTGTTGAGTACACATCAACTTGTCTAGTTTCACCAGCTGGACAAGTGCTGATATTGGCATAAACTGTCTCATTAGCTTGATATATAGAGGTTTTAACCCTCTGTACACCCATATCCCTGAAAATGAAAACAGTTATTAAGTTGCATTCAAATACTTTATAAAGATGCACTATTTCACTATTATGGCCAGTTTAAATTAATAACAAGCGATCTTACTGTAGCATGACTCTCTGTGCACTTTGTCCTTTTTGGAGAAAATAACATACATGAGCCCATCAGAATTTGCATACACCAACTTTTAATTAAAAAATGCACAAAAAATAATCAGGCAGGCTACTTACTTCTTCTCACCACATTCAAAATGAACGCTACAAGCCCAAGCAACAGCAAACACCCAAGAATGCCAGTCATCAACGAAAGACTTAGACTTGAATTTTGGTTTGGTGGAAATGTTATCTGATCCTGGCCCAGCGAGTTCACAGCTTGGCAAGTGTACATGTCCTGGTCAGAGAATGGAACTGAGCTGATGACTCTGTGGACAGTTTTGATTGGAAAGTGTTCTAGCGGTCCAGATGACGAGGTCCATTTTACTTCTGGAATTGGATTCCCTTGGGCAATGCATCTCACCTTCAGAACATCTAAATCCAGGCATAGGCTAAGAATTTGTGCTGGAGCTACAGTTGACAATAACAAAAAAAAACTGTAATTTCATGCATACAATGCAGTGGTCCCAAAAAGTATCTAGACACTTAAACTGCAATTAAAATGTATAATTAAATGTATAAAATGTATAGCCTACTTGAGGGTAAGTAAAGACAGAATTTTCATTTTTGGTTGAACTATCCCTTTGAGTGTGACTTAAGTGTCTAAAAGCATTAA